TTTATAATAGATATACTTAATGATAATAAAGTATATACAATATAAATATTACAATAAAGATCTATTTACCGTAATATAAAATTAAATGTTTTACAATATCTATCTCTCATACAACTGTACTTTATATTTATGATTTATGAAATGAGAGTTTATTTAATAGTTATTTTAATATAATATAAAACTATGATATTTAATGTCATTGTCTTTGTACACACAATATATATACCGGTATATATATATATGATAAGGGTTGCGAAAGGGGGGGGTAGGGGGGGTAAGGCCATCTTACCCCCCCCTGAGGTCGAGATTTTTAGGTTTTACCCCCCTGGCCTAAAGCCAAAAAGTTAGGGGGCCCCCTACCAATTTTCGGCTCCGAAGGCGCCAAAAATTTTTTTGATTATTGTAAAGTTTAAAATTAAATAAAAATATAAATACTTATTAAGTTTTAATATAAATAAATAGCTTATCTTAACAAAATAAATAGATAAAAATACTTAATTACATCAATTTAACATTATTTACACTAGTTGGGGGCACTCCACTAGTTCCCTAATAATTCCCACCAATTTTCAAGAAATTTTTTTCATTTATGTAAAATTTAATATTAAACAAAAATATAAATACTAATTGAGTTTTAATATAAATAAATAGCTTATCTTTAGAAAATAAATAAATATAAATTTGTTAAGTACTAAAAAAACTATTTAGAGTTGGGGCATTTCAAGGGTGGATAGTCCCTTAATAAATTCCCTCCAATTATAAAAAAATTGATGTTTTTATTTTATAAATTTATAATAATTGTTTATGCTTCTTAATAAACAAATTGATCTGTATTTTCAGATTTTTTAATAATTACTAATTAAATTAACTAAATTACAATTTAATTTTTTAAGACAATAAATTCAGTACAATATCATTAATTTTAACAACATTGTAAATAATTAATTAAATAGTAAACAAGTAATTATAGTAATTGTTTTTATCTTATATATATTATGTAAAATTTCATTTTTTATTATTGTAAAAATAATATTGAAAATAATTTTGAGTCAAGAAATTAAGTTGGAATATTTTCCTTTTTTAAGAAATTTATGTGAGAATTTATGAAGAATTTAATGGGAATTTAATGGGAATTTAATGGGAATTTAATGGGAATTTAATGGGAGTTTAAACGGAATTTAATGGGAATTTAATGATAATTAATTGGGATTTCACTGAGTATTTACTGGGAACTTATTGGGAATCTATAGGGAATTTTCTGTAAATTTATAGGGAATTTACTGTAAATTTATAGGGAATTTTGTAGGAATTTAGTGGGAATTTAGTGGGAATTTAATGGGAATTTAGTGGGCATTTATTGGGAATTTATTGGGAATTTATTGGGAATTTATTGGGAATTTACTCAAATTTGGGAAAAATTGTCGTTTAAAAATGCAATAAAAATTGTTCACCCCTCTATACCCCCCCCCAAGCTTTTTCAAAAATTTTGACATTTTACCCCACCCTATACCCCCCCCCCCCCCTGAGATCGAAAGCCTTTTGCAACCCTGATATATGATATATTCCTTTTTATCACTCACTCAATATATAGTATATAAAAAAGTTATGACCAGAATATTCTTGAACGTTGATATCGATGGGCTATTAGTTAATTACAACTATTGTTCTTTATTTCTTAGTATAAATAATAAATAAATTTAAAAATAAATAACTATAAATTTATTTAGCAAAAACTAACGTTATATAAAAAAAAATCTGTTTAATTAAAATAAATATTAATAAAAACTATTTTTAATAAGCGACTAATAATAAGATAAAATTTGAATTATAAAAATATTTGAATTATTAGATGATATGAAAAGAATTTCTTTAAGTGATAATAAAACTCATAATTGAAATCTCACAATAAATGAGTCCAAACTTCATTATACATATGTATTATATATAAATTAAATTATATATTGCCTACAAAACATATGTATGATTGATAGCAATAATTATTGTTTTGTGCTATTGTATATATACAGTATATATCTATGTGTGTGTGTGTGTGTGTGTGTGTGTTAAATCATACAATTATAAGCGTCATCTGCACTACATTTGTATAAACCGATTGAAACCAAGTGCTACCAAATGGGAAGTCACGCTTTCAACACATTTAGATACAGTTAAGTATTGTTAATAGTTTTGCAATATATGCCATACAATGTTTGATCAGCTTATAATCACACTTACATCACATTTATCTTAAGTATCAATTTTTATGTTACCTAAACATAGTTTTATAATTCAAGTTTATATTACTTACTTACTTTCGTCGCTAACATCTACTCTATACAACTATGATATAAATTTTTGTTTCGTTGGAAACAAAATTCAATTTTACTAAAAAAAAAATTAAAATATTAGTTTCATTTGATATTTGATGTGTATATTTAGTAATTGATTTTTGTGATTCAGTTCAGTTCAAATTTCAAAGTTTTTTTTATTTATATTCAAATGTTGAACAATGAAAAACTAGAAATAATTTTTCAGAAATATAATTCTGAAATTTATTAATTGTATTTAAACAATACATAATTTATAATTAATTCTATTTAATATAAATAATATAAACAGTAAATTATATATACAGTATATATACAATATTTTTTAAATATTAGTATAATTTATAGTTCTCTTAACAAACGATACAAATAGTTATTAAAAATTAAATTTTATATTTAAATTGTATTTTATTGATTGATAAAAAAATTTAAAAAATAGTTGTTTATTAATATATATATATATATATATATAAAATTACAAAATTATTTATAGAATTTATGTACTTTCAATGATATTGTTATAATTGACAAATTATTCCTTCATAAATATGAAAAATAATTGTATTAATACAATATAAGAATTATATTATAGAATTTTTACTATCTATACATTGTATACAATATCATCAGAGTTTTGCAATATTATATTAAATATAAAAAATAATTTTAAAAATAAACTAATGATTATATATATATAGTAGTAAAATATGTTTATATATAATACTCAAACAATACAATGAAAGTTAGATCTATTGCTTTATTAACTCGACTCTCAATGGCTCAACATCTGACAGTATTATGATATTCTGTACATTACATACTACAGTATATTCATTACCATTGCATTTGTTTGTCTTTATTTTAACAATATTTAAATTACTATAAATTAGATTTTTCTGATAAATCTGAATAAAAAGACAAAATAAAATTTCTATAATAAATAATTAATTGAAAAAGTCCTTGATAATTGTAGTGCATTAGTGATTTATGACAATAATTATTATTATAGAGAATAAAATTTATAATAAAATAGCAATTAATGTAAATAATGCAAAATATGCTTTTAATGCTTATCTGACAAATATAACAGACAAGTTGTCCACATTTTTGATAATTATTGTGACATAAAATTTAAATCTTATCATATAATAGTTGTTTACTTTTAATCTATATGTTTCAATCAACTCTATAAACATTTGTTACATTTCAGGACAAAACCTTTATGCAATTTGTATCATAACTTAGAAACAAATTATAAAAAGTATATGTCCTAACATAAAACAAATTAAACTTTTATTTTAATTAATTAGAGATTTTAAACACAAAAATACTTGAAACTAAACTATTAATAAAAAGTATTAATTAATACTAAAGAGTTATTCATATTTTATATTTAGTAAAACTTGATGTAAATTTTTATTTTATATGTTTAGATATTTATAATATTTTTCTAATAAAATAAGTAATATATAAATTATTTATTATTCATAATATAATATATTTAGTTAATGGGGTAATTTTCGTTATTGTTAACATAAAAAATTAACATTTTAAACTTAATAATATATTATTTAAGATTATGAATCATTATATTAATATATACATTTTATTTAAATTTTTGTATTTGAGTGCATATTATTAATATATACTATTTAAAATACATATACACTAATAAGATTAAACAATTTATATAATATTACATAATTTATGAATTTAATAGAATATTAATCAATTTTGCTATTTTTATTAAAATTTATATTATTTATTGTAAAAACACCTCTTTTACATAAAATTTTGGTTAAAATTAATTTATCTGTTTTAAGTTAACCTAAATATATTTAATATATTAATAAAAAATGACACAATAATTCAATATATTATTTATCATATATTGAATTTGCTACATAATATTTATATAACAATTTGTAAACCAATGTTTGAATAACAATTACATTTAAAATCATAGAATAATATCTATATTTTATCATACAATGCCAAACATTTATTAAATAACATTATAACCAATTGACACATTGTTTTTAAAACTAAAAATAATCATGTAAAATAAATTGCTGTATTATTAAAAATAATAAAAATAAATTTTAATGTCTCAAAGTATATTAATAACTATATATTAATAAATAATTGTATATTATTTGAAAAAATAAGTAAATATTTATTTTGTTATTAAAATCAACTAATTTAAATTTAAACCCCAATTTCAAAATGTTGTTATTTTTATTTGTTAGAATTTTGATCAGAATTTTATTTTAATATATAATAAGTCATATTAAATAAATTAAATATATAGGGCAAATAAAATTGCAAATTAATAAAATATAAATTTTTAATTATGTAAAGTCAAAATAAACATTAATAAATATAAATATTATATTTATTACAATTTATTTGTTTATTTATTAGGACTAAATGCTGATGTTATGACTTATTATAGATGGCATAGACTGTAAAATTGACTGATTTTGCTCAACAGTTATCTAATGTATAATATTATGTTAAATGTTTGTCAAATATTTTTAGCAAAAGTGGTGAACAACAAGAGTGCTATGATTTGCATAATAATAGGTCGTCCGCACAGATGATGTCTGAGCACACCATTTATGGATGCGATTAAAGTTATGGGAAGAGAAGTAATGGAAAGACACACAAACTGTTTACACAGGAATTCACACTAACTTTTGTAGTCATTTCGTAGGCCTTCTTCTGCCTCACAAATAGTCAACTGTTATCGACTTTTGTGTGTTTTAGAAATATTTTTAATTATTTTTTAATTTAATTTTTAAATTACTTTAATAATAATTTTCTCATAATGTCTGATGAAGAAGAGTACAGGTATGTTGTCTACCATTTGATGTTTTGCTGTGATTTCAATCAATTTTTTATATTAAATAAAATCAAATTCTTGTTAAATATATTTAACAAATTCTTACTTATAAATAGTGTGTGAAAATAATTTATTTGCAATAATAATAAACTTATAGTGTTTTTGAATGTTATTTATCATTATTATAGCGAGGAGGAGGTCGAGGAGACACCGAAGTATGTATCGACCATTTAATGGCAATTATTTTATTTATTCATACAATTTCTATATTTGTTTATTTTACAGAAAGAGGTAAAACTAGAATTTTCTTCTTTGAAAATAACGATTTTGTAAATTCAGGTCATATTATATTCAATATTGATTTTTACATATTTTTTTGAAACTTTTTTGTGAACTTAATTTTATTGAATTAATTTTAGTGCTTATATATTATATTGTCGAAGTTATTATAATTATAATAATAATATATATTGCAGATTGTTATATATATAGATATAATGAAAAACTTAATTACAATATAATTTAAATAAAAATGTATAAAATCTAGGAATTAATCCAAACAATAGTATATTAATTTTAATCAAATATATCTAATAAAATACATTTAATTGAAGCACAAGTTCTGCACCAAAGGCAGAGTCGGCTCCCAATGAGGCCGAGGCAGCAATGGAGGTATGGTTTACAACATTTCAATGGATTACTATTAGATGCAAATTATAATATAACATAAACTTAAGGAAAAAATGAGAAAAAAGAAGGTCGAAGAAGAGGAAGCGTGGGGTGATTATATGGAACAGAGAAAAAAGGCCAGAGCTAAGGAAGAAGAAGAATTAAGAAAACTCAAAGAAAGACAGGTCTGACCAACACTTTATCGATTATATGTATAATAATTGTATTTATTTGGTTAAAGGCTTTACGCAAAACAAAACGCGGAGAACAGGAGAAGATGTTGTATGAATTCAAAAGGAAACAGGAAGAGATCAGAATCAGAGAAATGGTTTATTAAATCTTACAATTTTTTTAATCATTTTACTAACATTTGTGTCAATCAATCAAATAATTTTATAATAGGAAGAGAAGAAGGCCAGAGCTGCCGAAGAAAAAAGAAAACGTCTGGAAGAGGCAGAGAAAAAAAGAGCAGCGATGCAGGCGGCTATGGATAAGTCGAAACAACAGGCGCCGGTTGAACGTAATTTTGTCATCCAGAAGCGTAGTGATGGTGGGCCCGGCGCTGCTCTCGGCAACACTGGATTTGATAGAGTATTGATTAATCAAACATAAGTTTTGTCGAGTTGTGTCTAATGATAATATTGTTGGAAATAGTTTACAAACGTTATGTCAGCTCGAAGTGAAATGGGAAAGACTAAGGAACAGTTGGCTGAAGACAAGAAAATTGCTCTCTCTTTCCGCGTTAAGCCCTTACAAGTCGATAGTCTGTCAGCTGACGAGTTGAGGAAAAAGGCGTCTCAATTGTGGGATACAATCGTTCAGTTAGAGAGCGATAAATATGATTTAGAAGAAAGACAAAAGAGACAGGACTATGATGTATGACATTAACCACTCATTTATCAATTTCTCATTATTTATTTGATATAACTTTTATGCTATCATTTTAGTTGAAAGAATTGGCTGAAAGGCAGCGACAAATTAATCGGAATAAAGCATTGAAGAAGGGATTGGATCCTGAGTTAGATTATTATCTCATTTATTATTTTATGTATTAATAAATATATCTAAAATTGCTATTTATTTCATTAATTTAGTGCACTTTCGGGTAAATTCCCGCCGAAGATCTTGACGGCCAGCAAATATGAGAGACGACTCGACAGAAGGACTTTTGGGGATAAAAAGGGATTATATGAAGGAGTGAGAGATTGTCATTATTGTCATTATTGTTATTATTGTTACGATTTGTTTTAATATAAATGTGTCGACCATTTGTTTTCTTAAGGGATATGACGCTCAAGTGGAGGCCATACTCGAAAAGTCGTGGGAAGAGAAGATGAGTCAATTTAAAGAAAGAGATAACAAACAATTGAATAAATGGGACCCATCGGCGCCTAAGAACAAGGAGACCTTCGAACCGGGCACTCGAACCTATGATGACGATGCAGATGACGACATATTGGATGCATTTATCAAACCTCCTGGTTTTGAGGAGATACTTAGCGACTCGGCTCCGGCACCCGCAGCACCTAAACCAGCGCCGGCTCCAGCAAAACAGGAAGAAGAAGAGGAAGAAGAAGAAGAAGAGGAAGAGGAGGAGGAAGAAGAGGAAGAAGAAGAGGAAGAGGAGGAGGAAGAAGAATAGAGAAAATAAAATTACAAATTCTGTCAATTGTATCAATTAATGTATCAATTAATTTACCAATAAATATCATAAACTAAGTTAATGTTATTCAATTTATTTGCAATATTTATTTTTCAATTCTTCTAATTCTTTGTGTGCCAACTCATCGGCAATGGTTTGGTTTTTGAGTGTCAAACCTCTTTGTATCCATTGTTTGGCTTCTGTTCTGTTATTGTCGGCAATGAGAGTGCGAGCCATCCATAAGTGGTTATCCTTTGCTTCAGCATTCAATTCATGTACTTTTTTGAAAGCATTTAAAGCGTCCTTATAAGTAGCGGTCGGTATTTTTCCGTATAGTTTTTCGCCAATTTTTCTCTCGAGCCAACCCAATGTCGCCACATTATAACACCACTGGCCATACATTGATTGGATAAACTGGTCATCAGGTTTGAGTTTGAGTGCGATATCTGCGTGTTCTTTGAATTGATGTCCGTATTTAATCTTTTCTTTTGAAGCACTAGTATTAGCCAACAAACCCAATGAAGCGCACATCCATTTATGGCACTCGAAGTTGTTTGGGTCAGCCTTACAGGCTTTGTCTGCATATTCATAGGCTTTCTCTGCTCTACTTTTCAACATTTCGTTGTTTCCTTCTTTCTGTGCTTTTTTGGCCAAAAAGAGCCACACTTTTGCCATCCGATACAAGACATCAATTGATTCTTCTTTTTGAAGATTTGCTGTCATTTCTTTCAACAGCTTATCCTTATTGGATGTCAAGTCATCGCACTGTTTATCCCAATCGCTAAAATCAATGGCCATTACTTATTATTAAAGCTCACAATAAAGTCACTCCAAGACTTAGACTTTTGTGAACTTTGGTTTCACAAAATATCATACAGTAATTGTCAAATATTTTCTAACAATACTTTAATTTTTCAATTTTTAATTTTAATAATTAATCAAAAAATTCATTCGTAATGAAAAATAGAGATCTAATGTACTTAATTGTAATGTTATACTATATATACTAATATTAAATTACTTAATAATTTATTAGTATATATAGTTATGATTTACTGATTTGATCTTGTTTTTCACAAAAAAAATAATTTATAAATACTGTAATAAATTAAATATTTCATTTAATTTGTATTTTATTATTATTTAGTTTTGATTGTTTTTGACACCTAATGCCTACAAATTATTAGTCAATCAATAAGTCTCAATAATTTTTGTAATTTAAAACATAGTCAACAAAATATGTTATTAAAGCTTACAAGACTTAAAGGTTACAGTATTTTATCTTTTTTTTAATAGATATGTTTAATTATATTGTATTTTTAATTAAAATAATATTAATTTTTATATTAAATGTTTTTTGTATATTAGTTTGATTAGAGTTGTGTGCTGTGAATCAATTAGTTTTAGGATAAAAGACAAATTTGATAAAATTTTGACAAACCTTTCAATTTATTTGTATTTTAAACGATTATTGTTTGTTCAAAATAAATAAAAACGTTTCTGTTTATTAAAAATTAATTGTAATCCAAAACTATACATATATTTTTTTTATTGCAAAACCTTATTTATTAAATTAAATGCAATTTTTTAATTAATTTAGTTTATAATATATTGATGACACAAAACATCTCAAGTTTTTGTCAAACATTTTAATTAACAGAAAAACAGAATTGAAAAGAGAAAATAAAATTGAAATTTATTTGCAAAAAATCATTGGAGACTCTGAAGCGATCATCAAAACTGAATGAATGACCACAAGTACTGTATTATCAATTGATAACCACTTTATCTAATCTTCAATTTCAATTTCTTCAGTTTCAGTGTCGGGTTTGCCTTGTTTTGCACCCAAAGCCCATTCAGGTCTTACCTAAATATATACCAATCAGTTAATTGTAGATAATTTTCATTTTTTAATACTAAGTGTTTATTATTATTATGCGTTAAACATATAAATAAAAAATACATGCAATTTATTTAATTATTGTCTTAAGTATTTTATATAATCTCAATTAAACTGAAAAAATTAAATTTAAAATAAATTGAATATGCATGCTAAATTATATAAAAATTGTAAAATAGTTTCTAAAATTATACTTAACTTATAAAAATCGATTGATTATAAAGTAATCACTATTTGAAATATCATAACACACGCATAAATAAAGCGTAAAATAAATAAATTATCATTTATTTCGTGTTTCAAATAATTGGTAGAAATATCATAAATATATAAGTATGCATTTGATTTTAGAAATAACATATTGATGGACATATAAGTGACCAAATATATATATAAAGCAATTTCAAAATAAAAATTTAATGCATATAACAGTGGTTTAATAATAAAGAGGAATAATAGCAATAAATCGACACAAATAGTGATTTTGGTATTATTTCTATACAATATATAATATATTAATACAAATGTGTGATAAACACGTCGGACAACAATAACATGATTATCAGTTTGTTTTTGAATTTATTATTATTGAATTGAATTGTTTGGCCACAAATCAAGTCATAATTAATATTATTCAGTGGCGATAACCTCTCCCTTCTTAGCCCATTCCGGCTGTGTTTTAGGGTTTAGCTGTAGTCGAGACAAATAGGAGTTATGAATATATATATATTATATATATATATATAAACACTTAAAATAGTTATGAAATCAACAAAAAAATTATCAGAGGTTTTATCAGTTATAAGCAAAGGCATCAAAAAACAAAAATCAAAATATAACAAAAAAAATCTTTGCATTCAAAATATTTGTCAATAAATCTAAAGTCACAAAAATCTCTACAAAATAGTATTTCAAAAAATAAAGCAATTAATGTTAATATATATATTGAATGGTTTACTTGTTTTTCGTCGTCACCGATCGTAAACTTCTGTGACTGAACTCTCTTAAGATTGTTTCGGAAGTCGGTCTCAGCTTTTGCGGCAACTTTTGCCATCTTTTCTAATCTATAATTTCAATCATATAATACATCGATTGAATAAATATTAGTTTATATTTTACTATATTTTTCATATTTTATGTTAAAAATTATTTTTCACTCACTTTTGATCGTATTTTGAAACCTTCTTTAGCGATGGTTTTACACTTTAAATGATTGATATATCGATTATAATAATAATTATTTTTGGCTCAATCTATCTGTTAACATATACTAACAATTTTCCTCTCATATCGTTTACTTCAATCGACAATTCATTGACCTAAAAGAGAAATTATAATTAATTTTTTGTTTATGTTTTTGATGAATACATAAAAATTGATGACAAGAATTGTTGATAACTGACCACAAAATCTTTTTGTCGGACTTCGTATTCCAAGTCATACTTAAGTTCTTCGAGTTTGTTAATCCTTTTGTGATACTCTTTACATATATCACGCAATTGCGCTTAAATTATATGATTTAGTAATTAACTAAAAAAACATGAAATAAAAAGCCAATTAAGTGGTCATACATTCATTGGCGCCGTCGGTAGTCTTGCGTTCACCCGTTCGCTGGGATATTATTTTTCTTCTTTCTTCAGCTTTCCTTTCCTGTTCACGTTTTAGCTCTTCGGCGGCTTTTTTTCTTAGCAATTGCTTTGAAAATATTAAAATAAATATTGAATTAAATGAATAGTTGTTTTAATAGGTAAATGAAGACATACTCTGAGTTTCTTTTTGCGTTCGGGAGTCATGAATCCTTTTTTGCCTTTCTTAGCTCTGGCCGCCTCCTCGAGCCGAGCCCTCACCTCTGCCTTCTTTCTCTCCTTATCCTCGGCTTTACGCTTCTCTTCTGCGCTCAAATTCTTTAATAAACATTTTAATTAATTAATTAATTATTATTATATAATATTTTAATATATTTTTTAGATTAAAATTAATAAAATTAATAATTTGTATATTTTATTAGTTTCCATAAAATTATAATAAGTCTTAAGTCATTTACCAAATTTAGTTTTTGAAATAATATTTGTTTTTTGAATTTAAATTATTTAAATATAAAAATAATACTTAATTTAAATTAAAATAAATTCACAAATATTGAAGTATATAAGTGTTTACATTTATTATTAGATTATTAAATATTATTTTGTTATTTATTATTAGTATACGCAAAACAATAAAAGTCAATAAACTATAATTTCTATTGTATAATATGTATAATATAGCGTTTATTAAAAGATTTAGAGGACATACCTGTTTTTGCTTGTTTCTGAAAACACAATTTTTGTTGAATTTGAAACAAATTTAAAAATAGATTAATAGATTTTACAAATATTTATAACAAAAATATATAATAATATTTATGACATTAAATAAATAATTAATTGTTTGACTTTTGATTTGTAAGCAAACAAATGCTAATAATGAGGTCAGATGTCAAATGGTTTACCTGTCAGACATTGTGGTAGTAAACAGATAATCGATTTAATTAGTGATCAAAACAATTATAGAAATGAAGAAATAGTGTCAACAAAGTTGTGTGACTGTTGTCTCACTTCTACTGAATCACTAATTCTTGTGTCACTAATAACAGGCTTTCAAAGAGATTCATATATTGAATACAAGAGAGAGAAGTGATGTGTTGTTTGCACATCAAGTAAGAGAGCGTTTCATTTGGTGCTCTACTATAGTCTCTCATCAGTGCCAGTGATGTTGTGATGTTTGTCTCCCCTTCCTCTTCATTCAGCCTAACCTTAAATGGTGTGCTCCGAGCACTTCAAGTCTATATAACATATAATGGAAATGAATTTCTAAAAATATTCATTACTTGTCTCAAACAGTAATCACTATCAAAACCAATACATCCGAATCCCGATATAAATGTTAAGTCACTAATAGATAAAGTAATCTAATAAATGTCAGATAATTCTGGTTGAAAATCGCTTATATAAGCGTATAATGAGTGACAATAAATGAAAAATTCAAAAACCATTACAAACAATCATTTTATTGCCTTTACTATACTTTTACTAAACTATTTGAATCTTTTTAAAATCTCTAAAAATTAACTCATTTGAAAATGCATGTCTATTTTACTAAATGAATAAATATAATAAATTAATTATAATATAGTTTAATATTTTTCTAAATTTATGTTTTAAAAAAAACTTAAGACACGATAACTAAGAATTTTTTAAGAATTTTGATTAATTTCAATATTTTTAAAACAATATTTAATTTTATATTAATTTAATTGTCAATCTTTAGTTTATTATTAATTATAAATAATAGCAAATATTATTATACTATGATGTATTAATATTTTGTTGTAATTAAATATTATTGAATCAAAAAATTGTAAACAATTTAAAATTTATTTTTATTATAAATTAACAAAAATAATTTGAATGTTACAAATAAATTTTAATTATAATTTGTTTAGTTTAAATTATAATTATTTTTAAAGCCTTACATCAATTCAAATTTTCAATATATAATTAAATTCAAAAACAAAATAATTTTTGACATACTTTTTTATTGTTTACTATTTGTATTATAATTACGTACAAATTGTTGTCAATTTTTAGTTAATGTATTATAAAAATATAGTATATTCAATAAGATTTTATATAATAAATAAAATCAACATTTAAGTGATTGGCAGCAAAACAAAACAAATTTTTGTTTTATAGCGATTAGATCTCCTTTTTATTATAACTATCGTTCAACTCATATATTAGTTATCCTAATGTATTGATTAATGTCTGACAGCTATTCAATCATTTAGAATAATTAATGTTTTCAAAATCAATAATAATAATAATAATAATAATAATAATAATAATACTTTTATTATTATATATTTTTATTTAAATCTTACCTTATCATCAAAATCTATTATACATTTTATCTCAAATAATTTTTAAAAAAATATGAAATATATAATGTACTGTATATATATGGTATTTAATACATACCATATAAATTATACAGTACAGTATATTAAAAGATGTGTGTGTTTTTATTTTTTACATATTTCTTTAAATTTTAAATTATTTTGCAGAACTTTCTTAAAAAACTTAAATATGAAATTAATTTAAATTATACATTTAATTTTGTAATTTAAAATATGTATAAAATATATAGAATGTAAAACTTGTTGTTAATCACATGCTATTTAATAACATAATTAGTATGACTTTAAATAAGAATTTGTTATCAAAACTATTTTTGATATACAAATTATTATTAGAGTACATACAGTAATGTATATTAATTCATAGTATCAATAATATTCAATATACAGTATAAAAGTATTGCAGTTATAAGATAATTAATTTTATAAATTATTTTATACCATTTAGGATTTTTGGATTACTATTAACCATCAAGGATTATTATTATTATTAAATTTTTATGTTAAATATTTTTTATTATTTATTTATTTTTATTTCATAATTATTTAATTAATATATAAACTTTAAATTTAAGGATTAGTGAACTTAATTAATTTAATAAAAAATAATCTCATGTTTAAAATTTTTATAGATTTATGCAAATTCATATATTTAATTATTTATAATTTTCTCACAAATAAGTATTAAAATAATTAAAGTTTGCTTTAAAAAATTTAATTATAGTTGTTAGAAATAACCACATCTGCACTAAAAATAATTTAAATTATTTTGATCTAATTTTTATTATTATTGATAATTTAATTAGTTTTATTTAGATATACTAAATGCATATTAATTAAATAAGGCTACACATAATCATTGTTTTCAAATAATATGTCATATCATTACTTATTATATCATTTTTATTTTCTTTTATATCTACATATAATGATTTAAATGTTTTTATTAAAGATTAAGCATAAATAAAACATTTGGCAAACCTTGTAAATAGACAAACAGTACACACATTCAATGGCATGTTTTAGATTACTATTATTTATAGTAACTCATTTCATATAAAATATGATAAAAGTTAAAACTAACTTTATATTTAACATTTTATTTAGTTTTATCCAGTGTTTATTGTTTAATGATAAATAACACAATTATTTTATTTTTAGTTATGTCACTGTTGTCTTCAATGATTAAGTTATACATGTTTAGGTATTTTTTATTAAATTAATATTTAAAACTTTAAGTATACATAAAATTATTAACTAAGTCAATATTTATTTAAACTATAATAACTACTTTAAGTTACAAAATATGTCACAATTACCACTAGACGACAAACACTGATCTCAATTTTGTCGTTTTTCAATTTTCAGATAACTATATCATTACTAAGTTTTTATTTTTAAACTACAAATTATCGGTAGAAATCAATAACAAAAATATTTAATACTAACAATATATTTACAAATTATCTACTGTTTTATAACTTATTTTTTATTTATAATTAATAATAATAATAATTAAATGGACTAAAATTGAGGACATGTATGATATGCCTCGCCATCTCTTCCTAATCTTTATCTTCATCTGCATCTCAACTATAATACTAATCTTTTAGTAGACTTGAAGGGCTGAATGGATTGTTGTATGAAATATCACTGAATCTGTCTTTGAATCTCTAGATCTTAAGTCAACAGATCTGACCACTCGATGATGTGGTCTATTGATTCTTAGGGGTTGATAATTATAATAACTATTTATGGCCTCATAATTGGTGTTATCATCAAAAATACCATTCCTTCTTCTTATCTGTTGTTGTTGTCTTTGATTTGCAATTGGATTACTTGTCGTACTATTGTTTTGATTGAAATCATTACCATTGTTATCATTTCTATATCTAAATCGTCTGATAATAACTGGTCTAATAGTAGTGCTTTCAGTGTTTGTTGTATTCATCGGTAAAAACATGTCTTGTATGACATGATTTGCAAAGTTTTGAGCCAATGGTTGAGCGGTAGTTGTTGTGGTTTTGGTGTCAAATAAAGACCTTATCTTATAAAAAGGATTGGGACGTCTAGTAGATAATAAAATTTCTCTTTTGTTTTCTTCAAGGTGTAGGTGTGGGAACTCATCGGGATGTGAAGCATACGGCGCTCGGGCCACTCGTACCTGATTTGATGGCTTTTCAATCGTTGGCTTTTGTGATGACTTTTTAGTCGATTTTTTGTTTGATTTAGTTGTTGGCGGTGTAGTAGTGGTTGTAGTAGAAGATGTTGTTGTTATAGATTTCTTTGAATTTTTTGGTCTTTCTCTTTCAACACTAGAGTCCATTAATTCCCTCAATGGTCTTAATGTTGATGTAGACCAATGAATTTGTTCAACAATTGAATTAATAGCATCCGTTTGTCTGATTTGTGCCGCAGATTTTGGTGGCTTAGATGTTGATGTTTTTGCTTTGTTTTTAGATTTAGGTTTTTTGGCAGCTTTTGACTTCTTAGTAGTTGTTGTGGTTGGAGGTGTTGTAGTTGTTGTAGTAGTAGTTGTTGTTGTCGTCGTTGTTGTCTTTTTAGTATTTTTATTAACCGGACTTTCTTTAATTTTGGCAGAACTTTCTGCGGTGTCTTCATCACTACTGTCTTCATTATCTGTATTTTCGTCTTCTTTACTGCTTTCGGTGTCCGACTCTTCATCTTTAGCTTCAGTTTCAGAATTAGAGTCATCACTAGAATCTTCTTTTCCAGAATCACTTTCATTATCTCCATTAGACTCTGATTCGTCGTCAGTATCAGACGTTTCTGAGGCCTCTGTCGTAGTTGTAGTCTCTTCGCTATCATCTTCTTCTCCTTCTGAAGCTTCAGTAGTGGTTGTCGTTTCTTCTTCAGAATCACTATCAGAATCAGACTCAGAGTCAGTATCACTGTCGCCATCACTTGAAGCGGGAGTCGTTGAAGTGGTTCCTTCAGTTTCAGAATTATCTTCACCTTCTTCTTCATCGTCGCCATCACTCTCTGTTGATGTTGATGTGGAAGCAGTAGTGGGTGCAGATGGAGGAGCTGATCCGTCATCAATTTCTCTGGACCATGCACCTATTGCTACCGGTCCCGGCATTTCAGACGCACATCTCTGAGCGCATTGATTGCGACACAACTCTATATTACACGTCAACTGAAGATCCTGACGGTCAGGAAATTTAAATGCCTATTCATTTAATTAATAATTAATATTATTTTTTAGTAAATTATATAAATATACAATGAATTTATCAATTTTTAAAAATAATTAAATAATATTTAATAAATAGTTACAGTAGTAGTGGTAGTAATAATAGTGTATTATAATGTAAGGAAAAGTAAATCTAAATTAAACTAAATTAACAGAAATCTCATTCATAAAAATGTTTTTTGAAAATTTCTAAAGGTTTTCATATTTATATACAATATAAATCACTATTATTTTACAGAGTATAATATTTAATTTTATCAGTATTAAATGTTATAAAAATAACTGTATTAATTATAAAATAGACTTAAAAATTGATAAATAGCAAGATTAAATCAAAATTAAAATTGCACAATAAAATCTACTTTTAATAAAAAAAAATTTTTAATTATATATTATATCGATTTTATTTATTATAAATTAAAATAAAAAGTAATAGCTTATTAATAAATGGTAATTAAATAATATAAAAATAAAACACTAATTTAATAAAAATTATTGAGCTTGAAATTAATAAATGTTATGATAAATTGATTGTAAAAATAAATATTTAAGTTTTGCAACAAATTTCAATGAGAACTCAAATATCTATAATTTTTAATTTTGACAGAAAATCAAGTGTAAGACTAAATAATTGGCAATAATTTGCAAGACATGAGTCATTTAAAGCAAAATGAGAGCAATTGTTTTCATATTATCAATATTTCAACTTTTTAATTGATTTTTATTTTTTAAAACTTTTCAATAAAACTTCATTAAATAATATTTCGTGTTCAAATTTATCTCTTTATAATCAATCTAAAATAAATAAATCTATTACTTTTATATCATGTTATTTATTTATATATACAACATATGTATATAACAACTAATACAACATTTATATTTAACTATTGAAATGAATCCAATTTTTAATAATTAATATCTCGTTTTTGGAAAATAATTCATATGCTTAATCAAAATTACAGTAAATTATATTTTTAAAATAATAAATGTATAAAAAATTAAATAAGTGTAATATCAATGCTAGTACTGTATTTATACTAGACTTCAAAATTTTATATTAAATTTAAAATCGTAACAATTTATTTTCTTATGTTTATAACTTAATAATATGTGGTTATACGGGTTACGCCTCTGTACTGTCTTTTAAATAATAATTACATATATAATTCACTAAAAAAAAATTATTTTTAGAATTGTTTTTTAAGTGATCGATAAGTTTTGAAATTTAAGTTATGATTTGTTTGTTATTTTTAAATTTGATATAAATTATAATTAAAGAAACCAAATTGAAATTAATTTTAAAAATATTATATCATATATATATATATAAATTATATATAATAATAATAGTATAAGATTAGTAACTTTATTATAAATTATTTTTTAATTAAATACTAATAAATAATGTTGTGGTAATACAAATATACAGTATATATCTTACAGTTACAGTTGTAAATGCAATAATAGTAGCACCGGAAGGGCCCGCGTCATGAGTTCTTCGCCAAACTTCAATTAATTTAGGTTTAGTGGGACAGCCTTCAAAATCTGTAAGCTGTAGGAGCGCCGGACCATTATTTTCGGCTACTTGTGGGTCATCGTAAGCTTTAATAAAAAATGTATAATTATTTGTATTGATAAGTAAATGATAAGTAAATAAATACCGTAACAGTCTTTAACTCGAAGATCAGTACGTTTTCGGGCATCTCTAACAAAGATGGCTAATGTTAAAGGACTTCCAACTTTGACGGCACTATCAATAGGATTTGTCTGTGGGAACCTTCCTTTTGTAATTTCCATCCAACAGTCCACTCTACTTGACTCTCCGTCCACATCTCTTATAGGTATCTTAAATATTTGAATCATTAGTTAAAATAAAATAAAGTGAGTATTTATAAGACATACGCTGACGACATCTAACATATCGATGACAACGGGCTTAAAGACTACTCGTTTTTCTTTGAGGTCGAAGTCATCTTCAATGGTATATCTGCAGACAACCATCCTCGCGTGATCAAACACCTCTTGATATGTCGGATCGTTTTGGAAAACTAGAATATTCTCAAACCCACGTTTAGGTGGTGTTCCGTCTTCACCATCGATGTCCAGTGTGTTTGTCCCGCATTTATCCACAGGAATCTCAAAATCAGTTGTTGTTGAGGCACTGTTAGGCTGAACGTACCTGTTTTACAAGTATATACATATAACTTAGTATATTATATAACTTATAAAATTTCAAATTTCAAATTTCCTCAACACTTTATTATAACTCTACACGAATTGTGATAACTTTATTGGAAATATTAAATTATTTTCATGTTAAGTCATAGTTTAATATAAATTATAAATAATTTTATTATATAATTTGTATTATTTAAGTTATAAAATTAAAACTGAAATAAATATTATGTTTTATTTAAGATTTTCAAACATAAATTATTTAAAATTTTAAATAATGTAAGCTACCATTTTGTTAATTTATATAAACATAATCATTATCAACATAGATTCAAGTAATAATTATATGTTTAGTTAGTTTTATTTAATTCCCCCAAGCAATTTACATTTTAATTTTATATACAATATTTTTATGATATAATAATGAATATACAAATGTATAGTACAGTATAAAAAATCGATAAAAGAGTTTTAGACATTTGAATGTGTTTTGAATTATCAATACATAATACAAACAAAATTAATAGAAATATATTGAATTTATTACTTAAATTTACAATATAAACAAATAATTGATATATTTATTTGTTTTTTAAATTATTTAATTTTTGATTATATTTAATCATACAATTTTGATTTCAGAGAATTTGTATAAAAATTATTGTGTAAATACTAATATTAAAAAGCACTTTAATTAACATTACTTTAATACCTGTATAAATCTACAATATCCGACTAATAGGTAAAATAATTATAAATAAATAATAAAGTTGTTATTTTTTATATATAATCACTTTTGATAGTTTAGCAAAATTAGCAAATCTGTGATCTTATTAAATATGATTATAAATTGATACAAATTGAAAACTAAATTAATCAATATCATATTTAATTGTAATATTTGTTTGAATAAATGATAAATAGTCCAAAATAATTGAACTACGGGTGCACTTACCGACATCCCATATCACTGTAATGACCCTTTGAAAAGATGATTCCATTGAAAGCTGAATCAAAATTGACACTCACTCTCATACCGGTGCGATCGCAGTGTACGTTCAATGAGGTTATTTGGGGCACAACTCCCACGGTATCGTCTATAAGCCATAACTAGAGTAATATAAATAAACATTAATTTTTAAATAAAAACAACTTTACTAAATTATAAATTCTCTAATCAATAATATATAATAATAATAATTAATAAAAATATATAATAATAATTAATAAAAATAATAACTTTTTTGAAATTAGATACACTTTAAAGAAATTTTTTAATAATTTAATATAGTTTTTTATATAATTTATCTTTTGATATCTTTAAATTAACTGATGAATATTTATTTTTTAAAATTGCATAAAAAATTATCCATTTTTAAAACATTAATATGAACAGTATATCTAAATAACACAGTCTTTTATTATACATATAAATAAATATATACTAAATAATTTGATTGAATATTAATTAATTTCATTGAATGTGATTATAATAATAAATATTTATATAATTTATTTAATTTATTTAATAAAAAATACGAATTAAACGTCCAAATAATCTAAATTAAAATTATAATTTAATCGTAAAATAATTATAATATTTATCTCAAATATATTTGGAACCAGCTTTATATGATAGAAATAGTAGAAAAAAATATAAATGAATTGAACCAAGGTGCTTTTATTATTATCATTATCCTTGAGACTCTATCAAGTTATACAAAATATAAATCCAATGATAATATCGAGACATTAATACACAATTGTCCGTTTCATTTGTCATTGAAAATCTTTACAAAATTTTAGTTTATTTAAATTTCAATAAATTTAAAGTTTAAAAATTATAATTAATTTAATTTCAAAATTTGTTTCCATTTAATTTATATTTAGATTTTTATCAAATATTTAGATTAATACCAAATATACAGTATTTTCTTGCAAAAAGATGACACACTTTTCTCAACAACTGGTCTCAAGAAAAACGAGTCTAAAAAAATTGTACTAAAATTTGGCTTTCATTGCAACGAATTAACGACAGAAATATAAATATTTATTAATATGTTTATTAGAAATAATGTTATTTTCAATTTCGTTTACAAAAATTAATATATTGTATAAATATTTTTTTTATGTACAAAAAATTAGGTTCATATAATTTACATTATTTATATTTACAAATCAAATATTTTACTTAAAATCCCATTTGAAAACAAAATTACAATCACTATTTTGGTAGTAAACATCATTAATTTTAATAAATAGAAATGCTATACAAATATATTTTAAATAAATCTATAAATAACAATAAATATAAACAACATAATAATGATAATATGGTTGTACTGTTTATTTTAATACTATAACATTTATAAAACTATATAATTAATAAATTATGAGCAATATTACTAATTTTTAATAAACATAAAAATTAATAAAACTATGGTTAAAAATAATGAATACATATTTTATTAATAATAAATTAAATTATTTTAAAATATAAAATATTTAAATAATATTATAAATTTTTATATTTTTACTTATTAAAATATTGATTTAATTAAAATTTCATCTATTTTTTCAACTTTTTTGAATTTTTCAGTAATCATGTAATTAAATATAATAATATATAATAAATAGTATTACTTTAAAAAATTAAAATGTATGAAATATTTAATATATACAAATTTAAAATCAATTTAATGAATAAACTAAAAAATTAATATATATTTAAATAAATAAATAATACTGTAAATTATTATAATTAATTAAATAGAAAGAAAAATATAATTTAACAAATATTGAATTCTAATAATTTAAATATAAAACAATAATAAATAAATGTTAGATTAAATATCTTACATTCATAACTATAAATTAATAAATGATTTTAATATAGAAACCAATCGTTTTATTCTAATATTTATCATTTATATATTATATTTAATGAACAATATTCTGAACTATTTATGTATAAAACAAATATATTTTATTTAAGTGATTTACACAGTCATATTTAACCGGTTAGATCACTAAAAAATAAAATAATTTACAAAGAAAAACAAAAATTGTTATTAAACACTGTATAATATAAAGTATACTTCGATAGTATTAAAACAGCATTTTAATACATGAATTTTCAAATTAATATTTTTAAAATAAAATCATTTATATATATTTAATTCATAAAACTCCTACATTAGAATTGCGAAAATAAATAGTAAATTATTTTTTCAGATTTTAAATATATGGTATAATTATTATATTAAAGTTATATAAAATTATTTAAGAAAATTTTCAGTAACTTCTTAAACAATTTCAAGTAAATTATATTTCTAGTTAACATTGATTAGTAAATTGATAGAAAATAATAAATTTAAATAAAGACAAAATAGGGTTTATATTAACTGACTTATATGAAAACATATGAATTATTAATTTAACCCATAATGTGATAAAATATTCAAAATCTAGTAAAAGATCTCTTATAATGCTTTTTAGATCAAATAACTTAAATAATAATTATTATTCCAAGAATTAATAATTTTTATTTAATATTTAATATATATTACATTTAATAAATATAATTTTTATATTTAAATTTTATTTTTATAGTATATTATAATGTATAATATATATAATATTAAAATGACTTTATTTAAAAATTAATGATATTAACTAAGATATAGCTACTACAATAACAATATATATTATTAGCATAATTTACAAATGAGATTATTAGTATTGTTAATATATTATTGTTTAAGTAATAACAAAGAAAATTATATAGTTTTCAAAGCAAAACGAAAATAAATTATAATATAATATAAAATAATTATTATTATTATTTGACAATAATTAGAACATAAATGAAGATATTTTTTAATGTTATCCTTCAATGCTATAAATCCTTGAAAATCCCAGTTTTTAATTAAAATTAAAGACACAAAACTGTCTCAAATTTTTTTCAATTTTGAAAAAATCATTCAACAAATCATTTGAAAATTATTGTAAGCTTTTCATAATTTATTTAAAGTGATATTTTTATGTAAACTTCTATAGTTGAAAATAAATTATAAAATACATATAAATTATTTATCAAACATTAGAGAGAAAATTAAATTAAAATTACATGTGCTATTTGACTGTTTCATCCGTATAATTATTATTATAGTTACAGAAAGTACTAAAAGGCTATTGATTTGACCCAATTTAAAATTTCTTATATAACAACATTGACAATAACATAAAGTATTTAAATAAAGATCACTATTAAGTAAATTTATATTAATATATTCAAGTATAGTCTTTTGGTATCAACTTTTCTATAAAAAAAATCATAAGTCAAAGTGTGTCCTAATTTTTATGGCTCATCCATGATCTGTCATTATTGTTGATTAATAGTAAAAAGTTTACAATTTTGTTATGAAAAGTAAATCTGACGAAAGCAACGAAAAGAGATTAAAAACATTACAGTAATTGTAAGCAATTGTAAGCAATTGTAAGCAATGGCAAGCAATGGCCGGCGGACCTAATTATTAGAGAGTTATGTGTGCTATAAATATATATAACGAATAGATTTTTTAATAGTATAGAAGCAAATGGTGTTATTACGAGCTAATTATAAATCTAAATCAATTAAAATAAGTACTCTTTGGTTACCTGTATTATGGCTAACAGTGCCAAATGCCTAAGCAATGACAGGTGTGAAGGCATTGCTGTTGTGCTTCACTGTTGTTGTTGTTAACTGTTTTATCCCAATATTGACTATCGATATAACACAAAACACAAACAATTATATCATTTGTTTTAATGTTTTAAAAAACTTTAAGCACAACAAGTTATGGCCCAAACAAACAGTTACTGAGTTAAACACATTATATATGAATACAGTTATAATGGATAGTTAGGTGAGAGTACTGTGTTAGTAGTGCCAGAACTGGTGCAAAGTGTGCCTAAAACTAACTTTCCTTTTAATGATCGCTTTCTTGTAAATCAAGAATATTATATATAAATCTATAAAAGTTGTATTAATATTTCCATACATTTAGCCCCTGTCGAGACCACCCTATTTTGAAGGAGAGTTTAATGTTTGCGTCAATATATTAGTCGACTTTCCATTCGATGGCAAAGACTGGAAATCGAGGCAATGAACACCTCTTAATACCCCCGAAGCCATTCAGTTCACACAAGAGTCACTCAAACAACTAATATAACTGTTTGTCCGACTATTTTGCAAACTTTCAAAGCTTACAAACTTTTGATGAGAGAGAAAGAAAGAGAGAAAGAGAGAGAGAAAGAGAGAGAGAGAGAGAGAGAGAGCGTGGATGAGCTGTGGAAATAAGGACACACACGATATGTTATTACTGGTGCTGACACTCGTATATATGTTTGTGTATCAAATCAATTGTGATCTTTGGGTTTTCATCACAAGTAAAATTAGAATTTAATTATAGCTCGAGTGAAGTTTGTTCGAAAAAAACAAGTTTTAAAATCCACTTATAATATTATCAAACAATTTTGATGCAAATCTCTAAAAGGTTTTATAATTTTATATATATAATACATTTTTAAATATTTATAATATTAGTTTTCACTTCTATACACCGTATATAATGTCAAAGTCTAAGAGATATAGTATATTTGTACCATTTAAGTGTAAAATTGTTTATATGAAAAATACCAGATTTTTATTACAGACAGTATATAGACTTACAATATACTGATTTAAATTATGAATTTCACGTATCGCTTCATTTGCCATAAAACTTGATTTTATTACAATTTACTTTTGTTTTTTCAACAATTTTTCCTTTAAATGTCTCTTTATCTGAAAAATGTGTATAAAATTATATGAAATGTATTTGCATTATAATTCCTTTGTTTGATATAAATAAATAATAATTTAAATACATATAAGTTAGGAGAATCTAAAAAAATATTTAGTTTCTCAAAATTACATTATTATATTAATAATTAATTATACAGTATATATATATATATAATTTATATAATAGTTTACTAACAATATATATAAAATAGTATATATATATATATAGTTACATCGTACAATACATTATACAGTTAGTAACTCTAAGTAACATCTAAGTTAGTAACTTACTATATATATAATAATTATAAAAACAATAGATGAATACATATGTATATATTTTTTGTTTTATTAGATTTTTAAAATTATAAAATAAATGTTTCCTTAAGTTTGCACTGTTTTGACCATAACTTCATTCTGTGTCACATCTCTTCATTAATGACATAAATGATTGATTTTAAAGATCTCAATACATAATGAATTAAATAAATTAAGTCAACACTTATGTAAAAACTAAAACAAATAATTTGTTTTAAATATTGGCAAAAACTGTTTATATTAAACAAAAAATATCAATTAAAATATAACTTTGTTTGGCATTTCATTAAAAGTAAACATTGAAGGAAATGTCTAACCGGTAGCTCTCATGACTGGTCTGACCCATAATACGGCAAATTGTTTACCACTCTTCCCATGTCCTCAATGTATATACTGTTGTGAATCAACTCATCAAACATCGTATTCTTTATTGAAAAAAACAAAATAATTTTAGTATTTTATATTTATTTCTTGTTTACAGTTGTAATAATTTTTATGTTTACAAAAATAATGTACAATCAAAAATACATTAAAAAATTATATTTATTTAATATGTTATTAAATAATTATTTGTAGTTTTACTTTTTTATATAATAATATAAAGTTGTATGATAAAAAATTATTATAAACATTATTATATTTACAAGACTTAAATATTATAAATATAATCATTTTTACAATTGGAAAATATTTAATTATTATTATTTTGTATAAGATTTTAGATAACGATTAATATTATTTTGGTAAAATTTTTATAGCTAATGTGATTAAAATAAAATAGAAATTTTTATAAATTATTGTTGAGTACAATAAATATTGTACAATAGTTAAGTAAAGTCAAATTTGATTTTTTTATGAAATCAATAAAATATTTTTTTACGATTTATAAAAATTAAGTACTCTTCTTTAGCTTTAATTATAATTTAAATAAGTTTTAAATAATTAAAAATTATTGATTTACATTTGTTAATATCTTATGTAATAAAAATAATGACTAAACGTTAAGTCGTTAGATATATAGAAAATGATTTTATTTTTTAGTAAGATTTGAGACAATTTTAATGAAAGCAAAAAACTCTTTTTCAAGGATTTTATTTGAAGGTAATTTGAAAAGTAATACGAAATCATGAAAATAATGGCCACAACTGTTCCAATTAAAATCGTGTGTAATCTTGTAAAATAAAATATCATATCTTTATATTTTATGACTTATTTTAAGCTATTATATAGTTGTAAATTACAAAAACGAGACAAATCACCATTAGTTAAAAAATTAACAATTAATTCAATAAAAGTAGCACTTGATTAGATTTTTTTATTATGTAATTATTATAAATTTTATTTATACATTAAAGTTTTTTTTAAATTTAAATTTCATTGTTAGGGTTAACAAAAAATACAATGTAATTAATTATTAATTATTAATTTTTATTTGTTATATTTGTTAATTGATAAAAAATTTAATCGATAAATTATAATTTTTAATTTAATTAATTATAAATCAAAATAAGTAATATTTTAAAATATGTTACTACTTTCATTAAGATATAAGTTGAATATTTATTTAAAATTTTGCATATATTAACTTTAATTTATATTAGTAAATTGTATTGTAAAATATATATTCTTGTTAATAATATTTTTAATTAATTGATAGTGTAGTATTAAAATTTTATATTAAGTTATAGAGTAGTATAACAATGACACCCAATTTGTTATAATATATGCAAAATTTAAATAGTTATTCACTTTACTTTGCAGTATTTCATTCTCATAATTACTGCATTCAAAAATGAAGTTATTTATTAAATCAATTTTAAAATTGTTTTTTTAACAAAAAATGAATTTATAATAGTAATATAAATATTTGTAATTTTAAAATTTATTTTTTAAATTAAAAATTCAATAGATTTATCTATTGGACAAAATATCCATAATAAAATAGTGGTATAATTTAAATATAGAATTATATACAATACCAGCATTATAATAATATAAAAATAATAGATTATCAATATTTTTAAAAATAATTTAAAGATTCAAATCATGTTATCCCTATAGGCTATAGCCTTGTCTGGCATATATTCATGCAATGAATTTAATTTAAAATTGTTTGAGTGATGTAAATAATACATTGTATAATCAATTTAAATTAAATCATAAATGAAAGTATAAATATATTTTTAAATATACTCTGATTTATTCATATAAAAAATATTAATAAATGCAAATAAAGATAAAACTGATGGCAATAAAAAAGAGATTACATTTATGTTTTCAAATATTTTTTAATAAAATAAAGCTATTTTATGGATTGATTAATTGAATAAATAATTTTTATTGAAGTACTCTCAATATGTCTATTATGGTATGAAAAGCAATAATTTCCCCATATTTTGATGTAAACATTACTTTTATTTGCTTTATTCTAAATGCTTTATATATTATAAGATCAAACAATACATACAATGTATAAAAATCATTTGTTTGATAGAAAATTTTATATAAAATTTTATAAACAATACATTGTTTGATATGAAAGTTAAAAAGCAAATGTTTAATAATAATTTTTATATAATTGAATTTTATGACTACTTTTTCCTCTAAAGTGTGTCATCTTTACTAATATAGTATATTTAAGTAAAAACAAAATCATTTTATTTCTAAAAAATATCAATTTTCTGTTTAAAGTAAATATTGCAATTTGCAATCATATTTTAATTTATTTCCTATAATATATTATCAAAAAATCAATAGTTTAAATCTTATTAACACTAAAATAATTGGCTGTATATAAACTATTATTTAGAGAGAGAGAGAGAGAGAGAGAGAGAGAGAGAGAGAGAGAGAGAGAGAGAGAGAGAGAGAGAGAGAGAGAGAGAAAGAGAGAGAGAGAGAAAGAAAGAGAGAGAGAGAGAGAGAGAGAGAGAGAGAGAGAGAGAGAAGAAAGAGARAGAGAGAGAGAAAGAAAGAGAGAGAGARAGAGAGAGAGAGAGAGAGAGAGAAAGAGAGAGAGAGAACATAACTCATTAGAGAATTGAATTGATTTTTATTAATAAATATTCATTTTGTCTTATATTTGACCAAAAAATCAACAAATGATTGAGTTTTAAACACCAAACTAGAAGTAGAAACCATAGATTATTTCAGGAACCGAACCAAAATCGTAAAGACGTCAAACTTATACTTTTAAAAATAATTAATTATATATTTTTAAGTAATATTAGTGTTGCAAAAAAAAGAAAAATTTATAAAATAATAGAGAAATTTCTAGAAAGTTTGTAAAAGAATTTTCTATCTATAGGATCCCTATTTTAATTTTGTTATATCGATATTGCTATCATATAACAATACATTACCGTAAATCTTATTATTAGTATTTTAATTATTAATTATAGTAAAAAATTAATTAATTAAACTACAGTATGATATATATAATAAAATGATGATACAATTTTACAAAAATTAATTAATTAAATGTTAATAATAATAATTAAATTAATCACATTTGTATAGTACTGTACTATACTGTATAATATAATAATATTAATACTATACTAATTAATTAATACTAATATTAATATTAATAATATTATATCTATAATATTACAATAACTATAAATATGGGGATCTCATAGTATAACAGTTAGTTAGATTGAGATTCACAGGGAGGGAAGTTCCCAAATAAAATCCCTCTAATTTTCCCGGAATATATGAAAAATATATTATATTCGCTCCCTTGATTGTTAGAAAGGGAAAATATAATTTGTCATACATAAAAAGGACAGACTCTCAATGACTCTAAAAAATTGTACTGTAATATG